CCCGGGGCTGCGGGGCTGCGGAGGGCTGACGGAGCGCAGGTTTGTGTCTGGAGGTCACCGCCACGCGGTGGCAGCGTTGGCTCTTCGCACGCCTGTTCCCAAGGCTCACCCAAACGGCGGAACTGCTGCCCCGCCGTGCCACACGGGCCAAACCAGGGGTGGCACAAACGCTGGAGAGCAGCGGACACGCTCGCCCAGTCCTTTATTTTGCCTTTATAGTTGACTAAGATGTACTTTGCGGGACTAAGGAGATATTTCTTTGATTTACTTTGTGCAAAGAAACAGTATCTGCTGATTATAAAAGCTTAAAGCGAAGTCCCAGTGTTTATTTTCTCAGCTTATTTCGCACAGAACATGCAGGGGGCTTGCTGGGGGCAGAGGGGGGAATGAACGCCATCCCAATTCGCTCTCGAGATCAGCAGGTAACTGCCGTACTTCCTAAACTGATACCAACAGTTGGCAACCCCAGTCCTAATCTCTGTGCTGCACAGTCTGGGAGACTTGAGCAGTTCTAGGAGTAGGATTGGACCCTTAGCATAATCTGTGGTTAAAAGGTCTAAAGTCTGCCGTGCCTGTGAATGAGAACTGTTACAGTTCTAGGCCGAGTGATTTGCTAGTGATACATATTTATTTTTCTTCTTCAAAAAGTCTATATTTAAGTGCTTTTGGTTCTTGTCCAAACATGGCTGTTGCTGTGTTTGGCATCCTAATGTGTTTAATTTTTTTTGAGATGTAGTAGACCTGAAAGAGGAATCTCTGGATTTACTGGTCTTTCTGGTTTTCAAATACCAGTATTCAGACTGTCCTTCAGCCAAAGTTTGCTTGGTGTCCATGACATTTTCAAATCGTTTGGTCTTGTAGTTACTTATATGTTAATAGTAGATAATATCGTCTGTTCTGTTCTACTACTTGTGCACCACTGATGCTGACCGTGGCCTTGTGGCAAATCTGGTCCAGTTTACAGCTGGATTCCCTTTACTTGTTTTCTTACTTCACCTGTAGTGCCCCTTGAATGTTTCCAGCCCTGTATGTTCCTCTCCTTTCCCTCTGCCCCTGTTGGTAAGGTGTCTCTGAAAACTCCGTGTGCCTGCCTTTCATCAAGATGAAAAGGTGCGAATTTCTATTCGCAGCATTGTTGGTGTATGAGTAAGTACAGCTGACAAGCAAGAAGTGGCAAGTGGAGCAAATATGTGTGGTTTGGGCTCTGCTTGTTTAAGGTCTTCAGCGTTTGGTTCTTCCTTTGTATGATTTCTGTTTGTTTGTTTGTTTGTTTTTAGTTTGGAAATAGTTTTTAATGTTTTGAGCTTGAAGTTGCATGTACTATTGTGGCACTCAGGTACTTTTGAGTTTATACTGGGATTTCCTTCTCTGAAGCAGAAAGATCTGCTTTTACCTTTTTAAACACTGCATCCTTAGTTGTGCTGAAGTACTGCAGTCCTTGTCCCTGCCTTGACAGAGGCAGTGGCCCTGTGGATACTGGTGATGTACCCACACCCTCTCTTTTTCCTGAACTCATAACAGGCTTCATTCTTGAATGCTGTGCAACCTCCAGCTCATAGTGTCCTTAAGTGGGAATTTGGCCTGCCCTTCACTTTGTGCAGCTGACCACTGTGTCATATTCTTGTTTCAAAGAAGTGAAGTGTTGGTTGTTTTTTCCTCCCCTTACTTTCCACGATCATAAGCCAGTCTGAGCGGTCTCCAGGTAAGTCTTTGTAGCAAACTCTTTCCCCCACCCCCAAAGCTTGCAGACCACTATGTCCAAATCAGAGAAGCCTTCCACCCGCAGTCAGCTATTTGTGCTGATCACCAGCCTAAAAATTATGCCACTGCCACCAGCACAGAGCCACTTCCTCCTTCCTAAGATGCATTGACCTAGTTCTTGTTCCAGAGGAAGTACTTTTTAACATTTCCCCAGTGGTTTCCTGGCATGAGGGTATTTTTCAGGTTATTTTGTTCTGTAACTGGGAGCATCACTCCTTGCATATTGCGAGGGGGTGACCTGGGGCCATGGCCCTCATCAGAGCTGAGCTCTTCCCTCGCGTCCGCTTTGGGCTGCTTGTGGAGCGCGAGTGGAGTTTTGCGGCACTGTGCTCTCATAAAGGTTTATATGGCAGAATCTCACCAGGAAGCTCCGCTTTGATGAAAATGATAGATGCTTTGAAAAAGTAATAATGTTCATATTTAAATAGCATGAAAGAATGTTATCTTTGAGATCAGCTGGAGCTTTACAATGGGAGGGCACAACATCGGAATATTTTTCATGATAACTCAGCAGCCAAGACTTTTTAGAGCCACTTTTTGAACCTCATGTTTATAAAAGCCATCAAACAAAAGAAGGGGCCATTGCAGTCAGATGCTGTATAAAGGTGATCTAAAGAAAGGATGGGAAACAGTCTTGTGGACTTTTCCCTTCTTCCTTCTCTTCCTCCCTGCAGCCCCTGAAAAGAGGTGGGTTTTTTGTTTGTTTGTTTATCTTTTATATCTACTGCTTGTGTCATTTGCATTGAACATATGAGTCTTAGCTCATCCTGGAAACCTCTGTGGAAATATGGAAAAAAATCAGAGTTTATGGCATGATGAAGTAAATTTGAGTCTAACTAGCTGAAAGTGGCATCGGTTTTGCTCTGGTTGCCTGAAGCATTTTCCAAGGTCCAGGAGGAGGCTGGCAAGCTGCTAGGAACCAGGAGATATGGGGGTTGAGGTGCTTCTCTAACCCGTAGCTTCACAAGAAGTGGGGCACAGTCCCTGTCATGGCACAGTGGTGTGGTCCTCTGGCTCCCTTGAGTCCCTTTGCTCTCCCTGGTCCTCCCTGCTCACTGGGCAGTTTTGGGTTGCTCTTCAGAAGGCAAAGGCATGCACAAATCAGTTGGCAGGTAGGAATGACCACTTGGTTGTGGCTGCACTAACCTTTCCCATTGGCACTAAACTGCACTAGACTTTGCTGGCAGCCCCGTTGGGAACATC